ATAAGAAAAATGATTTTATTTTATCTTTACTGGTTCCTTCTCTGATATACTTCCTTCCTTTACATAGAACTGAGTTTCTGACCTCTATCATTTCCTTCTCCTTAAAGAATCTCTTGTAACATTTCTTCTCAGGCAGGTCTTCTAGCTATGAATTTCCTCAGTTTTTGTTTATCTGAGAAAGTCTTAATTTCTCCCTTATTCATGAAAGATAATTTTACATATAGAATTTTAGATTGGCCCTTTTCTTCCTTTCAACACTTTAAATATTTCACTCCATTATTTTCTTAATTGCACGGTTTCTGATGAGAAATTATCTGTAATTCTTAACCCTTGTTCCTGTATAGATAGGGTATTCCTTCCCTCCTTTTGGCTTCCACCCCTTGCCTTTTCTCCAGATTTTCTCTTTGTGTTTTGTTTTATGCAGTCTAAATTCTAAATATATGGTGTTCCTAAGTGTAAGTGTTTTGGTATTTATCCTACTAGATACTCTCTGAGATTCTTGGGTCTGTGGTTTGGTGTCTTAATTTTGTCAGTTTCTTGGCTATTATTACTTCAAATATTTCTCAAGTTCCATACTCTCATCTCCTCTGGTATTCCAGTTCCATGCATGATACACCATTGAGAATTGTCCCATAATTCTTTGATTTTTTTTTCTTTTTTCTCTTTGCATTTCAGTTTTGGAAGTTTGCATTGTCTTATCTTTAAGCTCAGTGATTCTTTTCTGGGTTGTGTCCAGTCTACTGATGAGCCTATCAATGACGTTCTTTATTTCTGTTAGAGTATATTTTTGATGTCTAGTATTTCCTTTTTATTATTCTTCAAAGTTTCCATCTCTGTGTATGTTACCCACCTGCTCTTTCATGTTGTCTACCTTTTCTATTGGAGTCATTAAAATATTAATCACAGTTACTTTAAATGCCTGGTCTGATCATTCTAAAATCAGTCTCATATTTGAGTGTGGTTCTAATGCTTATTTTTTTGCTGGAAACTAGACATGATGTATCAAGCAATATGAAGTCAAATAAATAGGTCTTTAGTGTGAAGTGTTATGTTAATTTGACCAGGAGTTGGTTTATGTTTAATGTTTGTTGAAGCTTTAGGCGTTAGAGACATCAGGTTCCTCTAGTGCCCTTTTTCTTCCCCTCCCTTGTGTTTTTGACCATGACAGAGAGCTCTTCCTTAGTTGAAGTTTGTGTCTTGCAGCTCTTTCAGATGTAATCTACTGCCTTATTGATGTGTGGTGAAGCATGGAGGAGGAGAAACAGTCTATACTCTTATGATTAAGTCATAGCCTTTTAGCGCATATGTGTCCCTGGACTGTGACCTTCATAGATATTTCTTGGCTTTTCCGACTTAAGTGAGACAGGATGGCTAGAAGGGGCTGGAGTTTGGAACTGCCCTTCTCCCATGTGATAGAAGACTCTAACTAGGCTTTTTTCTTGGGGAGTATGCCTTTTTGATAAATAATGCTTGGGTGTATTTTAAGTAGTTACTTTCTCCCTCCCCGTGCCAGAGCTGTGAGGGGATTTTTTTCTTGACTCTTTACCATGAGGATCTTGTGGGGTTCCTAGAAATAAAACCCACGCAAGTATGTCCAAAGGCCCTCTCCCCCAGGAGTTTCTCACTCTCAAACTAGACCACACTCAGCCTCCAGCAGTTCATCAAAATTACCATTTAAATATTTCTACTGTTTACTGACTCTAGTGGCTTTTGTTCCAAGTAAGCAGATTTTGGCTATGACTCTGAATTTGCCTGTCTCTTCAGATTTCAGGGTAGCAATTTGCCATGCAGACTTAATTCTCTGTTGTGTCCAAGAAAAGTCATTGATTTTCAGTTTGTCCAACTTTTTTCTTACTTACAAGGACAGATGTGATGACTTCTAAGCTCTTTACGTGAAACCAAAAGTCCTGGTACTTCTTTTGTATTTTAAGGTCTTTGGTTTTCTCATTTTACCTTCTCAGATTTTCACCACATTGATGTAGGTCAAAACTGGCACAAAATTGTCATGTTAGGAGCAAAGATAAAATCATAATTTTTACATTAGATGGTACTGAGAAACGGGTATATAAACTGATAGATGTTCGGGTTGGTAGATAGATAGGTTTATGAAAAGATGTTATCCTTCTTTCTTATGAGTCCTGGACAACTTATAAGTGTCACTGACTGAAGAGTATTGGGACACATTGGTTTAGATCAGAAACTGGCCAGCTTTTCCTTAAAGAGTCAAATAGAAAATATTTTAGATTTTGCAGGTCAGACTGTCTCTGCTGCAGCTATTATAGTGCAAAAGCAGTCATTAATAATACTTAAGCAAGTAACTATGACTATATTTCAACAAAAGTTTATTTATAAATACAGGCTATGAGCTGAATTTGACCTGGGCGCCATAGTTTACCAACTCCTGGTCTAGATCAGTGGTATTTAATTTTTATTGTATAGCTCTCGTCTAGTACTGATTATCAAGAGATGCTGGCTGTGTTTTATTTGCATATATTTTATTACATTCAGGTATTAACCCATGTTGTGTTGATGGATATTTTAATATGTTGTTAGAAGGGTTCTAAAAATTTTAAGCTTTAAGAGGCACCATCAAGGCTCAATTTATGAGAGTAAAAACTACCTCAAAGTTACCTTGAAATGTAATTCATATTCATTCAGAATAATTTAAAAAGTTCCCAGCAATTGTGTAGGATGTTAGTTTTAAAATAAGTCTATTTTTATTACTTCACTTAATCACTTAGGCATGACAGGTATTATAATGGTGGATGACAGAGGCATTGCCCAAGATCAGTGATCTGACTTCCAGGGCAGAGTTCTTTTAACATAATGTATTGTATCACTCATGTCAACTGGAGGTTGAGTCAACAGATTAAATACTAGCTTTGTTCAGAGGCCAATTCTGGTGTGTTATTCTAAATGAGAAAAGTGGGATTATGCTCATTATCTCAAATAATTCTGTACTGAGCATTATTACAAAGCATTTAGGAAGACACACAGAAATACATGTATAAGTTACTGAAGTAAATCAGACAAGCGATTTTACATAAAATTATAGAATAATTGAACTGAAAGGGATCTTAGAGACTGTTTAACTCAGTGATCTAATTCTACAGGCAAACAACCTGAGATCCAGAGAGGCTAAGTGACTTAGGGACCAGTGTAATTGAATAATAAAAGACCATGAAATATATGTAAATTAAACCATCATGCTGTATGTCTTAAACTTGTCCGGTGATGTATGTCAATTATTTCTCAATAAAACTGGAGGAAAAATAAAAGCATAGTACTGGAAGGTCATAATGGTAGTAAGCTAGAGCCAGACTAGAAGAGTCAATTGTGAAATTCTGATGAATTTTTGTGAGCTGGTTGTTGAATACATTCATGAATAAAAATTACACGTAAACTCAAATTATATTAAAAACAAAGATTTATATAATCAAAATGTATCACTTACTAATTATTTTCCTATACATTTCTGTTATCTGTGCTCTTGGTATAAATAGTGGTATACTCCACAACTCAGTTCAGTAAAGTGACATTAATAGCTTGAAAATGGCCACAGATGAGTATTTGCATTACAGAAACTGACAAATGTTACAGATAACACTCTCTTCCCTACCCCTGACATGCTTGAGCTGGTTGATTAATATTTACCTGCATGTGCTTAGCCATGACTTCTGTGTTATATACTTGTCTGTTTATGTGTCTGGCTTTGCTGCAAGACTGTGAGTTCCTTGAGGTTGGAATGTATATCCTTAGTACCCAGCACAATGCTTGGCTTATAGTTGGCAGACAAATGTTTGTAGAATGAATGAGTGGGCTTTATATTCATGCAGTCCTTGATTCAAATCCTGGCTCTGTGTTACTTTGTGTTTGACCTCTGTGTATTAGTAAAATGAGGATAATAATACCAGTCTTGCATGATTGTTGTGAAGATTAATACATGTCTGGTACATAGCAGGTGTAAAAAAGTAGTCAGCATTTATGATTATAACTTAAGAAGGAGACTAAATGCTATTAGGATCCAGGCATACTATATGCAGAGCTTTGTATTAAGCGTTTAACCACAAATTGGATGAGAATCAAGAATGTGGCACTGTTATTTGTGTATGTGTACATACTTCTCCTTCCCACACAAAATAATGGGATATATTAAAAGGAATATGATATATAAGAGGCAGGAAGCAATTCCTCTGTTACATTTGGCTTTGTTCAGGCTCTTATTACAGTATCATGTCCAGTTCTACATTGCTCATTTTAAAGAGGATGTCAAAAAACTGTACGTAGCATGCCCTGGGAAGAACCAATAATTATGATTAAAGGGATAGAAAATAGGTCCTTTGAGGCAAGTTTAAGGAATTGAGTTTGTTTATTCTGGAGAGGAGCTGGTGAAGGAGTTACTCAGCTATCTTCAAGTGCATGAAGGGTTAGTATAAGGAGGACACTCTCACGTTGTTCTCCAAATGCACAGAGGACCAAAAGAGGAAGTCGACTTATTTCATTTAAAGAAAATTGTGTTAAACACTGAAATTGACTATCAAGGGATGTCATGGAATCTCCATTTTTGAAAATATTTAAAAGAGAGCAGCAGCAGCAGATGGTTATTTATTGAGAAGTTTAAATGTCTGACCTCATGAAAGTGACAGGCAGACTTGTGGACCTTGCAGTTTTTTTCCACCTTTGTGATATGATTTTCTTATATTTATTGTAACTTACCAAACATATCCCAGATATTTCATTGGGAAGCCACTTACAAATAGATAAAATTATTCTTTAGCTTGCATTGTATTTTAATTGCTGGATTTATCTTAAATGAAAATATTTAGTGTTATCTGTCTGCTGACAACTAAATTGAAGTCAGATACAAACAGTCCATGTTTGTATTTTTATGCTCTGCTAGACTGCTAGACTACTAGTAGTATCTATTGCTTAAGTATATTTGGTTTTAATATTTTTTTCAACTGTTGTGTTACAAATATTCCATAACTCTTTTGTGACAGGGAATCCTCTTGGTATATGATATTACAAATTATCAAAGCTTTGAGAATTTAGAAGATTGGTATTCTGTCGTGAAGAAAGTGAGTGAGGAGTCAGAAACTCAGCCACTGGTTGCCTTGGTGGGCAATAAAAGTAAGTTATTAATGTTTATCTATAGTAAAGTTTATTTGCCTATCCTATAGTTTTTATTCCTAAAAAAATTTGGTGATTGGAAACATAAATAGATACCACTTTCCTGGAGTGAACAAGTTGCTTGAGGAGAAAATTCCTAAAGATGTGCTCACTCTTTTCAATAACAGTTTTGATGCTTGATCTGTCGTAACTCCTCTGCTGCTTTGGCCAGTTCCTCGTTAAGGTAAGTTCTGTTCTGACTGTGTGTTTTGGCTTCCTGTGGTCTAAGGAAGCAGTGTGGACTATTAAGAACAGCAACACAGCTGCAGATTTTATGATACTGCACTGCAGCTTCAGCTCTGCCCCAGAGATTTTGAGAGATACATTTCATTAAATGATACCCTATTCTAGGGAAGAAAGCAGTGTCTGCATGGAATTTTGTGTGCATTGTTCCTTGCTCTCATCTCATGAGCTTCCCTTTCTAAATTTTTAGGTTTGTTCTTAAAGATTTTTTTTTTTTGAAAAAAAGTGTATTGGGGGAGGAATGGTGCTTGGTAAAAATGATGGATAAATAATTTTTTAGATCTGTCTCTTGGGCTATATGATATACAGCACATAAAAATTATAAGAGTGAATTCAGTACAGGATTCTTATATGGTTCATAGTTCTACAATGCAGTTACCCTGGAAAAGGAGACCTTAATAAGGGTTTTCAAATATATAAAATGTTATGATATGACCTAATCTTCTACAACTTATTTGAGGTCAGAAAAAGAGAAAATGAATTAAATTATACCATGGAGAATTCAGGTCAGGAACTGTTTCCTGGCTATAAACATTGTTAAATCAATACCCAAGTATACTACCAAGAGAATTATCTTCTCCAAAAGTCTTTAAAAATATAGTGCATTTTTTGTCTGTAATTGTTTAGGAAATAGTACTTCCTGAAGGACTAAACTGCGATTTCTTCATGATGTGGTTTTGCACATTTAGATGAACATTTAATAAATCCAAGCCTTACTTTAAAACCATTACAAAGCAGGTGTGAATATCATTTCTCTGAAGAGTTAAAAATATGAGTTTTATAATACTTTCTAGAAAACAGTATTACATACCACAAAATAGATGGCTTGGGTACAAGATACACCTTTTTTTAAGCTTTAGTTAAATTTTGCTCATCTCTTTCATGGATCTAATTGAGTGAATCAGAAGCTTTTCAATTCATTGAAATCCCCCTTTACAAATCATAAGTTTTGATGAGTTTAGATTCTATTTTCTGAGTGCAGCTTTTCATTTTAGGAGATCATTTCTTAGTCATTTGTCATGTCACCAAAGCATTGGCTTATATTATAGTTAAATTTGTGCTTTACTGGAGATTTCCCATCACCTTTTGGGAAATTATAGAATAGAGGAGTAATGGGGGTTGGGATTTGTTTTCATTTTTTTTAGGATATAATCTCACCACCATCTGGAGTACTTGTGCATGATTATGTACATTATGTTGTGTGTTTGTGCTGTCCTGTGAGGCATCCACCATTGGTCCCTGTCTAAGACAGGTTGTCAGACTAGATGGGCTATTGGACTATACTGGTGATGCCATCTTAGGTTTTAAAAACATACATTTATATAAGTTATATGAATTTATGCAAAAAATGAATATAGTGTTATGTTTGAGACTTAATGGCGTTAAAGTCAAGAGAATTTTTTTGCTTTTGGCTTAGCTCTAACCCCTTTCTCATATTTATAATACTCTCTTTCAGAATGAGATCATATAACAGAGTTTGCAGTGACACAGAATGTTATATGTATAAAATTAAGTGATTATAGATAAACATTTTCCTCGATATTATTTACCATAATGTCAGTGACCCAATTCCATATAATCAATACAATCATGTAGTGAATGGTCTTACAATTTGTATTTCCAACTTGATGTTACATTAGTATAGTAGTATGCATTAATTTTCTTTTTGAGGGATATAATTATATTAAAAGGCAAAGACTTTACATACTGGGTAGAGGCAAAGCATAAAAAACATTATGGAAAGACATTTGAAATTAGATTATTATGATCATTATCTATACAGAGTCATCTTCTGCCTAAATGTGCTTTTAAAAATTCATCATTGTGTACTATTCTTTGCAACTTAAATAGAAAGCATATGTTGAAAAGAAGTATGTGTAGGCTGTGAAAATATTGGCAGCTTTTAGCCAAAGTTTAGCAAAAGGGTGAGATAGAAAGTTTCTATACAAAGAGTGTGTGTGTGTGAATTTGTTACATAGTATGAGCTTATAATTAGTAAGTTATAAAATCATTTGCTTTTTATTAAAACATAAAACTCTCAGAAATTGGGCTGAGTCTTAGATAAAGAAGAATTATGGGTTTATTTTTATAAACATTATATTTTATTACAGCTAAATACAGAGATCAACTAGAGAAGGTTAATGATATAGCCAGCAGAGGAGGATACTTGCTTTAATGAAATAGAATTGGTAATTAGTAAATTAATTATTTCAGCATTAATACTTAAAAACATGTAATACATTTTGACCCTTGAACAACACAGGAGTTAGGGGCATGTTTCTTTCCCGCAGTCAAAAATCCGTGTGTAACTTACAGTAAGTCCTTGTAAACACAGTTCCTCTTTATCCACAGTTCTGTAGCCATGGATTGGATCAACTTTGGATCATGTAGTGCTGCAGTGTTACTATAGAAAAAAACCATCGTGTAGGTGGACCTGCGCAGTTCAAACCCGTGTTGTTCAAGGGTCAGCTGTGCTTAAATTAATTTAGTTACTTTTATACTCTATTCTAAAGGCTATAAAGTGCTAGTTCGTGTTCTTAGTTGGTACTATTTAAGGTTTTAAATGAAGCATTGAGTTGTGGTTAACATCATTGGGCCTTAACTTTAGACAGACTTTGCTTACAAGCCCGAGCAGTGTGGTATCTAACAAGTTACTTTATGTCTTTAAGCCTCAATTTCTTCATTTGAAAATAAGAATAATAGTTTCTGTCTGATTAAGTTGGTTTAAAGATTAAATGAACTATTACATGCAAAATACTTGGTATGTGGTCTTATACACCATAAGTGCTCAATAAACTATTAGTTATTATTAATCATAATAGCCTTTTAAAAGCACTGACTATAGCTTCAATTTGAAAGATCACAAATTACAAATTAGTAGAGCTGAACTAGTTATTTTACAAAAGTAGCCTGAAGGAAATTGTTCCTAGAGAATTCCTTTGTCCCAGTCTTACACCTTGTTTTTTTTTTCATGATACTTCCCATACCATGGGTAGGGCAATTCATTCAGCAACCATTCTTGAGTGCCAACTATGTATATTCAGCTAGCCATTGTCAATCTGTGCAAAGGTTTGAACCAAAGAGAGTGCTTAAGGAGTAGTTGGGACCTGCTAACCTAAGTCTTAATTTTATTCTTTTTCTCTACCATCTTCAAGTTTTCTAAAATTTTAACTTTCTTTTGCTTTGTCTAGTTGTTGGGATTAATAAATACATTTATGTTCAAATCTCCATGGAAGGCCCTACTTTTCCCTGGTGAGGTAAAAAAAAAAAATTCCTGGTAGGTAACTTTCAAGATGGGAAAAAGAGTAGGTCATCTACTTATTCTGTGTTTTAGGGAAGTTCTGTTGAAGTTTGATGAAATCTGTAGCCCAAGTGCAGTACGATATCTGACAGGCGATGGATCCAGCAACGTAGGCATCCGGAAACAGTTATGTTACCACCTAAGGGAACACCTGCAGTTCAGGGAGCCAGATCCGCCAGGCTTAGTAACTGGCCTCCTGGCCTTGAAGGTCTTGCTCCCCCAGCAGTGGGCCCCTCTCACTTGATCAGAGCCTGTGGATTTTCACTCTGTGTCCACTTACTATGGGCTTGTTACGGGGTGGACCTGACCATGGCCTAACACACTGTCATCATCTCTCATGTGAACTATGGCACTAGCTTCCTAACTGCTCCTCCTGCTCCTTGCTTTGCTCTCCTACAATCCAGTTCCCAGATGGCAAATCATATTGGATGACTTTTGTTCTTAAAATCCTGTAGTGCTTTCTCATTATATTTAGAGTGAAATCCAAACTCCTTATCCAAGTTTATCAAGCACTAGGTGATCTGGCTCCTCCCTACCTCTCAGACCTCATGTTCTACTAAATGCTCTCTTGTCAATAATATATGTAAGGCACATTTGTCTTTTTTTCTATTCCTAAAACATTCCAAGTTAATTTGGAATTTAGGGTTTCTTCTGCTCAAAATGCTTTTCCTTCCAGTCTTACTTGGCTGGCTCCATTTTGTCATTTGGGCAAATGTCATCTTCTCAGAGTTGGGGTCCTTGACCACTCAAATCTACATAAGTCATCGAGTCCCTTTCTGTCGGGATGTTCTGTTTCAGTTATCTGCATAGTCTCATTGTCGTCTGATACCGTTTTTTGTTATATATCTTTCCCTGCTAAAATCTAAACTCTGTGAAAGCTAAGGACCTGATCGCTTAGAACAGTGCCTGAAAGAATGAATACTGAATGAATGAATAAAAGCCTTTCATGAAGACTGTTGAAATTAGAAGTGTTTATGGCCTGGGATGTGTTATTCAGGGAAAATGGTTTTCTTAATGAGGAAAAATACATATGTAGATACAGCGAACCTATTAGATGGCCTTTGGGCCCAACTGGCCTACTGAATTCCACTCTGTTGAATAGCGTCAGAATTTCTTAGGAAACACATCAAAGTTATTTTATGCTGGATCATGTCTGAGGTTAAATGTCACAGATTTTATGTCATGATTTTAGGTTAAATAAATCTAAAAAAATTAAGAATTTTGCTTCATTTTCTTAACTTGTGACTTTTATATGTAGAAACCTATACTTTCAACTTTTTATTTACAAATTTTTAATTTCTCTGTTTAATTTAAAAAATCATAATCTTTAGTCAAGTATAATTTTAATTTTTCTTTCAGTGTTTCACAGAAGGTTCAAATTAAAATGAAGTGAACATTCAGGAATATTAAATTTTTT